ATATCTCTAAACTTCTGCTCACAGAGTCCTACAAGGTTATGAATCATTTTGAGGGAGGACAAAATGGGTGAAAGAACACTTGAATTCTGGAAAAACAGAGGATACGGGGTAACAGTATCCTGTTTTTCTTTCTGGGTACCTCAAACTGAGACTTGAACGTGGAAATGAACGCATGGTTGTCCTTCCTCAGCCATACTTCTTTATATGATTCCCTCTTCCTCATCCTTCTTTTTGATGGAAATTGTCACAGACTTGTTTTAAATCATACATACACAGTATCAACATTATTAAGGAGATAAACAGATATATGACCTACTGGAGACATTAGACTGTATGCTTCTAAATGTGGCTGAAATCACAGAAATTGGACTGATTGCACTTATTTTCAAAACCAAATACATAAAGACAAAAAAAAAATTGTCAGAGATGAATGATAATAGTCAATGGTGCAAGTTAGAAATGTTAAGTTAGGAACAAAGTCTAGAAAAGCTGCTAGTAAAAGAAACCTCTACAGTTCGGGGTTATCTTATCAAGTATTGCTCAACAAATCAGGAATTCAACAAGTGTATCCCAGGGAACAAATGTAGTAAAGTCTCCAGGTGGGACTGTTGCAAGATAAATGCCTGTAACAGCCTCCCATTTTACTCCTGGTTTTGTAGTTTTGTCAAAGGAGTTGACCTTTAAGTAATGTAAAGAATATACACAGGCAACATATAAAATTAAACAGATTTCCTGTTTTTAACGCATGACATTTAAATATTCTTTTTTTTGTGAAATTTATAAAACTTTTACGGAATACTAAAAATTTCGGAGACTTTAAAAATGTTAATCTTATAATTAACAGTCAGGGACATACTTTCTTTGCACATGCAAGACAGTGATATTCCAAACCTATTGCTATGAACTTTACAGTAATAGACTACCATCTGCCTTCATGCTAAAGCAGAAGCATTACATTTTTTACACTCGTGTGTAGGAATTTCACAATGAAGCAGATGTAACAGCTTAGCTAATAAAGAATTGTTTCATGGAGGAAAGAATGATACATTTCGTATTAAATCAAAAAGCTTATTTACCCAGAAAGGAAAAAGAAAAAAGGTAGCTCAGAGTACGCTATTTACCCTTTACTGTATTCCCTATCTACACAATCCTCCCTTTCTGTTGTATGACCTAGCGCTCACTGCTCAGTAATAAAGATTAAATTTACATTGGCAGCAAATTTTCTACACTGCATTTAAAGTTAGAGCTTTCAAAATAATGCTTGTAACAACTTCTCATTTCCAGAAACTTGGTAATTTGTAGTTAAAAAAAAAAGGAAAATACTGAAAACAGTATTAAAGGGAACTGAGGCCTCAGATGGTTGCACATATAGGCTTTAGACTAATTCCTTACTTTGTATATTTTGGCATATATCCAGTGTTGATATCTTCAATTTGACTTCAGCAAATACACTGGTTGTACCCATAATTTTCTATTTCCTTAGAAAAATGGAGACAGATTTCCACTTTTCAAAATTGTCATTTAAGGACATTTCAGATTTCAGAGGTATCTGATTGTTTAGGGTGAATACACTACATATTTAAATAAACTGGCTTGGCCTTATGTATCCATAATGACACTTATGACTTGAACATATTTCTCATAAGGGCAGAACAAGCTGCTGGAGTTTATTAGTTAAGGAGCAATCAAATAGGAAAATGCAATATTGCATACAATAAAACACTATCAAGTTGAACCACATAACTGAGATAATAACATTCACTTGCTTTCACTCTAGAAGATGATCATATACACTGTCAGAAATATACAGTTGTTAGTAAGAAACTAAGCAGTGTATCTTAACCTAGATATGAAATAAGCAAATGCACACATTACAATAGAGCCAAGATGCCTACACAGGGTTTGTATATAAGACCCTGTGATATGCCATGTTGAGTGTTACTATGTCAGTTGAGTGTATGGTATATTTTCTTGCTGAAAATTAGTTAGGTACAAGGTAGATCACTAAGATGATTAAGAAGTACATTTACTGAAATGTACAGGTATACATTATAGCATGATTAAAACAGATCAGAGCTATCTTTAAGGAGTCAAGAGACAATTTCCCTGACTGGAACAAAGTTTCTGGATTGCATTCTTGATAATTTACTTTCTCCCTTGCAAGATCTATAGTAAATAATTAGAAAATGATTACAGATGCCCTTATCTCCTGTAATTATGAGTTCTTTCCAGACTTCTTGAAGAACTGGTCCCTGAATGTCGAAGGTTTACAACAATAGTTCAGTTGGGCAATTTCTGGTCTCATTACACTAAACTATCAATCTCATTGAAACTTTAGGATTAAATAAAATCACATTATGCTTCAGTTACTTTTCAGCTGCTAAATACAGGATACATCAAATCTGATCCTGATCTATATAAACATGTAATGTGACAGCACATGCCCTGGGTAGTAGCTGCCCCAGTGAGCTGTCGATGAGCCTGTCACATACCGCAGCCCTGGCTGACCCAGGAGCGGTAAGCATGAAGCGGGAAGCTGTTCCCTGTATTGACGGTGGGGTTGTAGAGGGTAAAAGCAGAGCTCTGTGAAAAGAGGAACTCTTTAATTTGTCTTCTCCACACAAAGGGAAAAAAGAAGAAAAATGTTCTTCTTCCAGTGCCAGAACTATTAAAAGACATCCTATGCAGAAAAATGGATTGCTGTTAAAATCTCATCATTAAGCATGCTTGCAAGCTTCAGCAAAGCAAATGGCATCTCTTCCAATTTTAGAAAAAAAGAAAAGGTCTCTCATGGAAACTAGACCATTAAAAGGATGATATGATTATACAGCTGAGGTTATATTCTCAAAAGGAGCTACTTGTTTCAGGTTTTTTTTAAGGCTTGTATTCTGATTTTATTGAATGGAATAGTTACCAGTGTGTCTAACGTAGGATGCTTCGGTCCTAATCATCAGAGATTTGGTTACAACTGTGACTTATTGTAATAGTCCCCTGCTTTTAATTTGCTCTTCAGGTAGTCATAATCAAGTCATGTTTTCACACATAATTTTTGAAACAAAGTCACAGAAAGAGAGGCAAGTGGACCCCTTCCTTTACACAGGTAAGATAAACATGTGAAGTTCCCTTGGAAATGTAGTTGGAAGGCAGTCAACTCATCCCATTGTATAAACTCAGCAGGCCTGTACTGGTTAAGCTTCAAAGGAGAAAACGGTTTAGGATGATGTATTTTTGAATGAGCAACTCAAAAATAGCTGTTTCAGTCAGTGGTCCGGAAGGTACTTCTACCAAAGTCTGTGGCACAGGGCAGTGAGTACTCCATCCAAATAATATGATTCAAACATAGATTATATCAGTTTTCGTTAAAAACACCAAAGTCTTCTACGACTCCTGGAAACTGACAGATCAACTGGAAGGTAAGACTAGGTCAGAAGAAGGCAGCAATCAGACACTGGTAGAAGGCACCAGTGGAGTCCAGACAAGATGTCACCCAACAGAGTGGTTGTGCATATACACTGATATGGCCTACTACCACAGGATGTCTATCAGACTCCTTCTTAAATTTAACATTGCTTACTCCTGGCATAACCCTTGGGAAAAGCTAAAACCTGCTCCCATCCAAAATACCACAGATGATGCTGATACAAAGCATGCCAACTGCATTCGTTGGAACACAGAAGGGAATTCTGGCACATAAAGTGTATGTAAATAAATAAAACACTTTATTGAAATATTGAAAATACTTCATTGAAACACACACTGAATGGTAACTAAATCTGTTATCTTTGAAGGAAACACACTATTTTGGTTCCGCTATTTTATGGTGCAGTTTGCACAGCTGCATGTGTTGAAAACAAGTGCAGATAGTATGCCTGGATACCAAATGCATAGAAGATATTCACAGAATTCAATTTTAACACTGACAATTTGAAAATATGTGATTTAATTTATTATAAACTTGGGAAAGGCTGAAAGGTAAAATATTCCCTGATAGCTAAGCAACACATGACAATTTTTTTTTTTTCTGAGCTCACAGTCATTGATTGCTTTCACATATAGTGAGTGTAATGACCTACTTTCAGACAGTAATGCAAGGTGACATTAGCTCAGATATACCGGCAGTCTGGCAAGGACATTTTTAACTCTAGTTGCCTGTATTTCATACCATGGGAAGTTCATTAGGAGGATGTGACTGTTGTATAACCACAATCTAGACAATTTTTTTCTTCTTTTCCTGTACACCAGTAATGTCCTTTAATACTATGAGAATTTTCCACCGCCATTTCTAACCCACTGTACCTTAAAAGCTAAAACAGATTTTGAAGCCAGCTATAAAATCTGTCATAGAAAAGAATTTTCTGAAAAGCAGTTATGCAAAATGAATACAATTACAAAACAAAACCCCTAGCAGTTATTGATCAGTTTGTCTTATAGCCTTGATTCTTTTTACAAAGACACCAAAATTGTTCAAAGAATTTTCTATTCAAATTCTAATTAAATTATGTTCATTTGACTAATCTGTGCTTTATGAGCAACAGTAATACAATAGAAATATAAATGAGCTACAGAGTAAAAAAAGCCTTTTTCATCAAAGGACCAGGCACAGTGGTGAAAAAAGAACAATCTGTAGAAATGGAAAACATACAGTCTGTTGAGAAAATCTCCTCCTTATTTTCATAAGTTAACTTTCTTCTGTCCCAGAAACACTACGTTGCATAACATGCATTAACACAGTGCACAACAACTTGCACAAATAATACAATATTTTTTTCATTAACTCAAGCCTCCAACTCTTGCTAGTGTGCCTGACTCATATCGCCCATCTTACACTGCAAATAAGTATTATTCTAAATACCTCAATGAATCTACTCCTGAGTTACCAACAGTAACTGGGATGAGAAGCAGAGAAACATGATTATCATTACCTCTTCCCCTTTTCCTGCTCCAGAGAAGCATAAGACTTGCATTTCACAACTAATAAAAAAAGAATGAACCACAACTACCTTTTTCACAGAATCGACCAGTGAAGTGTAGTGGGCAGTCGCACCGAAACGAGGTGGCCCCAGTAGGCAGAGAGAGAGGATGACAAGTCCCTCCGTTATGGCACAGTCCTTCCTGGCATACAGATGGCAATTTGGGGGAAATCTGAGAGGGCACAACAGGCTCAGGCAACTCAGGCACATCAGAAGAAACCATAGGGAATGCTGTTGACAGATGTGTGGTTACAGGAATCCTGAAAGGATAGAGACAACATAACAAAACAAAAAATCATGAGACCTAATTTTGCAACTACACTTCAGCTTCATTTAAAAACAGTAGGCTTTTTTGTTTAGAAATTTGGATTCAGAGATTCAGATATATGTAAGAAAATGTGAGTACATTAGTAATTCCCAAATCAAGTCCCCATCCTGAAATCTAGCAAAAAGATAATGAAGGTATTTTTCCCTGTGAGGGAGCAAGAAATAACCTCCACGCATGTAGCACAGTTTGTACATGCTCTTATAATTCCTTTTTGGTGGATGTCAACAATGGAGTGATAAATAAATACAGGCTTGTATTATTAAATAATTTATTACTTGAAGTTACCAAATCTCATAAGGCTGTTCTAGAAGACATGACTTCCATACAAGTAGATTAAGCATGCATATGCAGAAAGAAAATGCTGTAATACAGCAATACAGTATCTTTTAATTCTTAGAAATAACTATATGGGGGGAGGGGAGAGAGAGAGATATGAATTTGTTTTAATTTTTCCCTATGAACTTTCTTGTTTAGAATGACATTATTTCTCTCTTCTCAATTTTTGAGCTCTTACATTAACTACTAGACTATGTTAATCAGTTGCTTCCTTTTTAATTATTTCCTATCTCAGAGTTGCTAGAAATTAGTTAGCAATACCACCTGTTTGCCCTACTTATCAACTCTGTTTATTACTGCTTTTTGTTTTATCCAGAGAGCAAAACTTGTGACTCACTAAAATCTACAAATTTAAGGCTACCGATTTACCAACCAGAACAACTTAAGTGCATCACACAAATTACGAGGATAAGGACAAAGCAAAAGGAATCAAAAGTTGCAAGAAGATTCATGACTACGTAATAAGCTTGCACAATTAAAAAAATAGTTTTCATCAAATTTTACATAAGAGATAGGCATTCTTCTTTCATTTTATGAAGTTCAAGAGGTTCTACTTTTTTCCAGAAAGCAACTTCTAATTCTGAATTTTGGCAACAATAATCTAAAAAATACCTTACTATTTTTACTTCATTGGTAATTTTAAGCTTTCTGAATATTTCTTTTACATCTTAATGTTGCACAAAAAAAAAATCATATTCGAGAAAGGGAGACTAGATTGAACTGAAATGTCACTAACATTTTGGCCAAAACAGAACATAGAAATTAAATACTCCATACAATGGTTTATAGGTGTCACAGCCAGTGAAAGTCAGCATTTTGGCAATGTGTTAAACATCAATGGCTAAATTCTTACTTATTTTGGTGAAAATGGGGGTATAAACCTGCTTTACAAAAATTAAAATTAAAAAAATCATATATTTGCCCCTGCCGCACCTTCCCCTCTCTCCTTGTCACTTGCTCTTGTATCAGCTAAAACTTCTGCTTCACCATATTGTAGAAGTTGGAGTATGTCTTAAAAAGAAGCATTTGAAAGGGATGATGCATCATGGGAATAGAGTGTGACTGCAGAAGCAAGGTAGATGGGGACATAGCAGTGTGATGGGACACCTTCAGTGTGACTTTGCATTCTCCACTCCAGGCACCTGTCTTCTTAAATCTAGCTTCCAAATTTTTTACATATCCCATTTAGTCATGACAACCTGAAAACTGATTTTAATAATTTACTTTTTGAAATCCATATTTTAGAAAGTACTAACAAACCTCAGAATATTCTGAAAGAAAACAATATAACACATCCGAAGGAAGTATGTCATCTGTAAATCTCACTATTGAAAAATCAGTTCTCTGAATTATCAATACAACACCTGTACAAAGAAAATTATACATGCTGAGAGGCAGGTAGGGAGGAAAAGAAGCTGGACAGAGGAAGGACAGAAATATTTCAGGACAAAGTAAATAACTAAGAGGACCCAGAGAAAGGCGCAGTAATTGAGACAGGAGTAGAGCCTGGGAAAGAACAAAAGGGACACAGGGCTTATTTGACAGCAAAGAGGAGACGTGCAGAGCAGTAATGGTAAGCGAAGCATTAGAAGGGGATACTGAAGCAGGGATGCAGACTGCATCCAAAACATGATAGCCAAAACACACACACTATGGTGGTTAGAAATGAGGATACAGGGATGTCAAGGCAGTTAAAAGCCATCTACTGTATATGAGAGAAAAGCATCCAAAAAGATGTCAGACAACAAGAAGGCTGAAAACAAATCCCTAAAAGATTTTGGAGGCTGAGGACTTGCCGATAAGAGGCTTGGAAATTTGAGAAAATAAGTGACTTCCTGTTTATTTCTATTTACATGAATAGAATACCAACATTTCCATGTATATGAATAGAATTACAACAAAGAAATTGCTGGGTTTATAACCACCCATTCCCCTAAGGGAAATAACTAACATGATCTTCGTATGGGCTATTCCATTCAGAGCAGCATTAAGAGTGCACTAACGTGCTCTCTTCTACCATGCTAACACAGCAAATTGAAAATGCTTAGTCACATGCTGCTGAGATTATAACCACTGATGAAAAAAAAAAAAAAATCTTCATTTTCTCCCCAAACATAACCTATATGTTTGAGAAACTCTGAACTAATAGTAGGCTTACATAAAGAATCAGACATTTACGGGACAAATTTATTGGGAGCTATTACTGGGATTTGGGGTTGATTTTTCTGTTCCTCCTGAAAAAAACCCAACAACAAAAACTAAATAAAACCTGGGGAAGAATCAGGGCATAAACTAAGCTCTCACTACTAGCTATTAGAAAGATCATTTCTCTAATGACAGATAATCCTATAGATGACCATTGCAAAATTTATTCCTCTGAATCTGGTCACAGCTACCCTCAGGGGTAAAATACTGAATGAGAGGGATACCTGCCTGACTGGCAAATTGTGCGTTCCTGTGTTCACTGGAAGCACTGATTTCCAGCTGTGGAATCCTTCCCACATCCCCTTTCGGGTGGGAAGCTACTGTTTTTCTCTAAAACAGAATCACAGGAGTGTGCTTCAAATGAAATTTTATGAGCACAAGTAATGCAGCCTTGCTTCATTTTTTGATTGACATTCTAATCCGCGGAGAAGAAAGAAAGGAAAGCTCCTTGGCAGGTTGATTTCTCCCTGGTTCATTTGCTAGTCTTTCACAGGATGTCAGCCTTTGCAGTGTTGTTCTGGATGTTTTGCTTCTAGATGGTGCCTGACTGCTTACGTGCCAGCACCGCTTCCAGGCACCCTGCAGCTCGCTGCCTTACTGGAAAAACAGAGAAGAGTTTGCCTGGGCTTGTTAGTGGGGCAAACGTCTGCAGCTGCACTCACAAGCCATTCAAGATGCTTCTGTGAATAAGTAATGACCTCGGCTCAATGCAGTTTAACTAAAACATTTATTTGAATAAAGAGCCAGGAAGTGTTTAAAGTAATTTAGTAATTGAGGTGTTAGAAGTTTTGACAAAGTGTAACAAAAATAAATCAAGCAAAACTTGATTCACTGTTACAACACAACAAGGCCACAATTTTCTGTTTTTTTTTCTTTTCAATTTCCCAGCTTGTCACTGCTTCTCAGGTCAACAATGCACACGAAGATCTTCTAACTTACTGCAAGCATCAACACATTGTTTTTAATCTTAAGATGAGCTCAAAGAGCTGAGCTTTAGAGGCCTGTAACCTTGTGTTTCATAGCTGAGTGCATGTAAGTTTGAAATGCTTGTCTAAATATAGATGTTAGTGCAATTTGAAGTTTTGTTTATTTTATATTACATTCTTTACCACTCAAGGAGATGTATGATCAACTGAATGGCAGGGATGTAGTGCTTAGGGATCATACTCAATGTTATGTTGTTAAACCAAAAGCACACATAGCCTAACCAACTGTGCTTCCCGCTCCCCTACGCTCTCCTCCTCTTTTCAAAAAGAGCCTGGAACTATTAGTGTGTGGAGATAGAGGCGCTGCGGATTAAAAAGTTAACAAAACATCTGGGAGGCCCCGGCTGTGCACTGACCCAGCAGTGCAGGGGCTCAGCCTCGCCGGGGGCTGAGCTGGGTGTCGCTGTTTTAACCCCTGCGCTGGGGCCAGTGACTGGGGCCGAGAGAGCTGGCACGGTTCAGCCTGGAGAAAGGAAGGCTCAGGGGGATCTTGACAATTTGTATAAATACCTGAGGTGGAGGGGAGGGGAGAAGATGGAGCCAGACTCTTCTCGCTGGCGGCCAGTGAAAGGACATGGAGCAATGGACACAAACTGAAATACAAGAAATTCCACCTAAATATAAGAAAAAAATTCATAGGGGTGATCTATCTGTATAATGGACTTCAAACTGAGACCTGCAAAGAGAGCAGGCTTGTCCCCAAAGTAATTCATTATCAGGCTGATGGCAGCCATGTCTGCAGAAGCACTCTGACGTTTTTCCTGAACCAGGTTGATGAAACATGCAATGGCATGGGAGTCCCAATGATATGATAACATCTTCACTGCCTATATCTTCTGGTACTTGTGCACTTAACATTTTATTACTGAAGTAATGGATTTAGCCTTATCTGATATGAGTGTGATAAGGAGGTTTGTATTTTTAGCTTGTCAATAAAGTAATTTGTGCAGGGAAGCAACTGCTTTTATTTGCAATTTTCCTTGGTGGAGAAGTGTGTACATGCCATTTTTCTTGGGCTATGACAGACTATTATTTTAAGCAAATGTTTTAGATTTTGGAGCCAAAAGAAAGATTTTTCAAGGGCATTAGAATGCCTGTTGGAATATAATTTCAAAGCCTTATGAAACTGAAAACTACTGCACTTCATGAGAATGTCAGTTTAAACAGGAATAAAAAACTAGTACCTTGTGTGTAATTTGGCAAGAATGAACAAAGCCTTTTACAGACTGTTTATTTCACTGTTCACAACCATGTCAAGAAGAATACTTTAGACGGCATTTCACTGATTTCAATGAATCCACAGAACAGTATATCTGCACACTTACCCTACTGGAGAAACCACTTAAATCGCTCAACACAGTAATTGAGAAAACAATTTAAGAGATTACCAGAGAGGGATTATTTT